CGCAGTTCAAGCTGACCATTCCTTGGCCTTCGGGCTCTCCTTCGAAATTGTGCAGGTTTGGCCGGGGAACCCCGAGGGCTGGTTTCTGCCAGCAAGGTTTTTCCTTACAACGGCCTAATACTGACATGCCGCTGCTTTCTTCTGTTGGAAGCCTTTTTAGTGCTTGCCGGAACAGCAGGCAAGCGCATCACCGACCATGGCCGAGTCAAGGGACATTCTGAAAGTCCAAGCCCATGCAGCAGCCAATTTGGGCTCAACAGGGTGCCCCTGTGGTCCCCTCCTTGGCTGCGATCAAACCTTACCAGGCCAATACATTCTGAGATATTGTGAGCACTCGGTTCTGCAGGGCGTGTTGTCCTTCCGAATTCCATACGTGTAACTTGTAACAATACATTCTAAGCTCGTGAACATTCACCCGACGTTCTTGCCGAAAGCTTGACAAATTAAAGCTGAACGCAGCTTTGCAGGCCTTGTCCTGCTGCGATCGATGAACGCCAGGCTGCCTTGATGCAAGAGGGACCAAAATCGGGTGCGGATCTGGAAGGAAACTGAGCCTAAGTCTAGCATCCAAGCCACCACTCCTGACTAGCAACTGTTGCCATCCCAACCTATGTAGCAACCACTGAAGTTACAACCCGGCTACCACCTATATGGGGTTTCTTCAGATTAGGATTGTAGTATATTAGGGTCTATATTGGGGTTTCCTAAAATTAGGGGTACCATTATGGGGGTCCCTATAATAAGGACTATAGTATTTTGGGGTCTATATTGGGGTCCCCCTATTTTGGGAAACTCCCATATTGGGGTCCCCCTATTTCGGCAAAGTACCGTATCCCCCTTATGGCTGCTATCTGCCATCATTGATAGCACGAGTGTTGGGTAAATCGCCGCCCTAGAGCCAACCCTAAACGCGGTTTTCGGTTTTGGGTTTAGGGTTTAGGGTTTAGGTTTTAGGGTTTAGGGTTTAGGGTAACAGCCAGGTGGGAGAGACAAACACCCTATAGTCCTCCTTGAGTAGATAGAATATGGCTTTGGGTACATTATAATAAGATCCCCATATACCCCATATTCTATTTAAGGAGGACTATAAACCAAACTGCAGCCAGCTTAAAGGACGACAACCGCTGCTTCATGCCAGACATGAGGCCTGGTCATTCAACTTCTGAGGCTTCTTATGCTTAAAAGAGCTATATAGTCTAAACTCCTTAAGGGGGGGGGGGGTTATGCAGCCTAGGATGAAATGGAACATGGAAAATGGTTTGGACAAATTGCCATGTGTAGGGTTGCGTAGGGATATAGCAACTAAATGGAGAGTGAGCTTAAATGGGGTTATGAGTGCATGGGAAGTTATGCAATAACATGTTTCCAGGATACTGACAGTCTTCTACGCCTTGGCCTCCTCGTCCTTGGCTGAGGACTCGCCTTTTGATGCAGTCTGGAAATTTCCGGAGCAGCATGCGCTTCAGCCCAACTTTTGTAGAGGCATGCTCCAGACATGATTGGTGCAAGGACCACAGAGGCTGCTCGCTGGACCCACCTCTCGCTAGTCCAGATGCATGCTACGCCGGATCCACGCCAGAGAGCTGCTGGATTGCACTTTGACTCTCAGGATGGAGGGAAGCTTGGTGTGGCCTTCTTGTATCCCAAAGTTTGGGTAGAACAGATGCTTCAAGGTGCCGGGCTTTTCACTGCGAAAGGGAAAGCTCTGCTGCAGCGAACCTTGTGGCAGCCTCAGTCCTGGCTTTTAAGCCAGATTGCACTGCATTTCTTTGCAACTCTACTTGCAGTTCTTGCACATGCGCGCACTGCTAACGACAGAGGATTGTATCCTGCCCCTGCATCTGTTTTAATGCCAAGGAGTTGCTTGGCGAGTGATCGCAGAGAGATATGCGGATATCATGAAGTGGATGCATGCGTTTGAAGGGTCGTTCAGACAAGCACGGAACATTGCGCTGTGAATCGCACAGCCGCTGCAGCCCCTGCTAAAATTGAAACGCGTAAGAGCAGGGTAGTGACCTGCAAGCTACTTCTCGCGGTTTGGATGGGGCTCAGCAATTGGAGACCACGTGCGCGAAGCAGTGGAACGTGGGGATATGCCGGGATTCCACTGCTTTTGTTTTTAAAGTGGCCATGGCCGGCCTTTGCTGTTCTGAGGCTGAACAGAATTGGGACAGCCTTTGGATCAGTGCCGCGGCTTGAACATGACATGTGGCTCGTAGTCAGTTTGTGAGGACCACAACCAGGAAAGATGCTCCAACCATCAGGACTGGCGGGGGCACGATGAGACCTTGACACTCGACGAGAGGCCCGGCATTGTCCGAAAACCGCAGCTTGGCTGCAGTTTTTCCATCAATCATTGCTTTTTTGGCACTTATGTAGCTGGTCCGGCCCATGTGGCCTCTGTGCAACTGTGTGTTGCAACTATGATAATTGCGGCTTTCAAATTCGTCACGCTTGACATTCCGCTGGACTCATTCTGTGCCGGTGAGCCCTCACCTGCCCTTGCAGCAGCTTGATCTAAAATAACTGCCCGGGAAAGGAGCAGCAACTTGAACACGAAGGATCATCAAGAAGGCTGGACATTTTGGCAAGGGGATCACACCCTGCCTACACACACAAGCTGAGCAGGGGCCATCAGCGACTTGCCCTGCGGCGAGCTGATGAAACTCAATGCCTCCTGCAATGAATGTGGCAGTTGCCGAAGTTTTTTTGTCGCAACCATTAACGTGCTAGGTTGTTTTGCTTCGCTGCTTGACCATGGTTCCATGCCAAAGCGAACACAGCATGCTCGGGTACAGATTGCCGAGGCATCCTTCTCCCTGGCAGCGAGATGTCCTTCCTCCTGCCCACTGCATGTTGATCCGACCAGTGTATCAGCGCAGGACGGCTTCGAGAGCAGTAGTTGCTGGGATCTTTGCAGCAGGATGGCGGTCCGCATCGCACCGCCAAATGCAAGTGCAAGATAGTGCCCGAGTTCAACCCACTCGTGCTGCAGGACTTCTGCCATTCCATCTGCGTCCCAGAGGGGGCTTGCAAAAAACACAATCCAAAGGCACAGCGGGACAGGTAGCTTCCGTACGTCTAGCAGCCATGCGCCATCCTTGTAAGCAACAGTGCATCCTGAGTCCTAAGTGCTTCTATGTCTTGTCTTCCATCTGTGACCACCATGGCCGCCTGTTCGTTTGGATTGATATGGGCCAGGCGCCAGTTAGCGACCTTGGCATCGGCTCTTGCCGTGGAGCGGTTGTTGAGGGCTGCGAGGTACAGCGCTCATTGGAGCTGTAGCTAATATACTCCTTCAGAATGGTTTATGCAAGGATGTGTTGGGCATTGTTCCGCTGCATGCCTTAAAGATGTAGACGTACATGCGTGTCATGCGTTGAATCATGCGTGTCGAGTACAATCCATGCCTCGTGGAGACCACATTTGCGAGACAGCCGAGCAAGCTAAGGTGGAAAGTGCCGATGGTACCGCAGCTCGGTTGAAGAAATGGCGGCCTTTACCTGCTCGCATGCCCCACGCTTCTCGCACAAGGACAGCTGTGCCAAGTGCCAGCCCTTCTTTTACCTCACAGAAGATCGGATGCTTGGCCTGCATTAGAATCCCTGCCTCAGGCCGATTGAAAATTTACGAACATGGGAGCAAGATTTAGATGCTCCCGGCGCAGGCTTGCCGGGCAGGGAGGGTAGTGCAAAGGCAGCAGGTACAGATACTACATATTCTTATGAGTCAAGCTGTGCTGTTCTTCCCCGCGTTGCTGTAACTCTTGGCTCTTCCATTAGCATCCTTCAGCAGGAAGTGTGCTCGCAAGTACGCCTGGGCCCTCTATGCCATCGCAGCCGTGCTTGCAGCACCTGGGAGCAGACTAAACTTGCTAGAGCTTTGACGCAAAGGGCCGGAAGCTTTTAATTCCGTATCTTGTTATGCCTGCCTGTGCGAGTTGCAAGCATAGGCCCTCGTGATTCTGATCCTTGCGATGCTTGGATGCGCTGCAGTCCTTGTTGCCTTTCTTTGTGAGCTCATTGCAGTGCCAGTGTCGACAGCTGACCTTAAGGTTCGTGTGCCTAAGGATTTTAGCTGATCTTCTTCAACGCCCGGTAACGAATGGCCATGGACTTGAGGACACTCAGCGCGCCTTCGGCAGTGAGATTCGGATAAAGATCTGGGTGCTCAGCTGAAACAGTGGGAAAACAAATTGGACCCGACATATGTTCACAATCTTGGGATCGCAGGATGCCCTGGAGTATCGCTCCAAGCAGAAGTTTCGGATGCCCGACCCTGATGGAACGGGCCGTCGCTTGGCATTCTCCCATGCCAATTCCAGCAGCGAATGAGCTCGCCAATTGGATGCGAACTTGCTATTCAGCACAAGGCCGCCTCTACCCTTTGACCACGAACCTTTGCACAACAATCGTGGGGGGGCCTGGCTTGGCCTTGCACTTCCGCTTCCAGGACTGCTCCCGCTGCTTTCTAATTTTTTACCAGTTGAATCTAGGCAGTGTGCTGTGAGCATTCAATTTTGCATTGTCTAGTCGAGTCCCGACCACCTTCTCGCAGCTCTGCAGGCAGTGCTAGTCTTCTGGGCGGCTGTGATTGCTGCTAGCAACTTGCCCAAAGGAAGCGAAAAGTCACAGGAAAGAACTCAGGGACGGAGGGGGTGCTCTGGTTCGCCTTCAGCTGGTTTGGGAGACAAGCCAGCAGACACGCTGTGCTGTGGCGTAGCCGCCGTAGTAAGCAAGCAGCGAATGTCATTGTGGCTGTAGCTACATCTAGAAAAATCACTGAAAGCAGAGGTTGGGCGCTGTTGGCAGTGCTGGTGGACTCTGACCTGTTCGTCTTGGGTACAAAGGAATTTGGGACTGTGACTTGGCTGAAAGAAGTTACCTAATCTGTACCTTGGCAGGGGCCGAACTTGAGAGCTTGCATGCTTGATTTTCATTCAGCATTGTGGCTACAATGTGAAGCGCGTTACCCCCTCCGCTAGCGAACCGTGCTTTTTCATGGGCGAGAAGGTGTTTGAGCGTCGCCAGAAGGGAGCCAGGCAGGCATTTCTTTCCATTCTCGCTGCAAATCTGTTCCAGAATGCCGCTATTGCCGTTCTGACTCCGCTCAAAACCCAAATTCAGGATGAGTTTCGCTGCTCAGACGCGCAAACAACTCTGCCAAAGTTTGTCGGACAATTCTCATATCTTATAGCTGCCGGATTTGCGGGCATCTTTATGAGTCAGACAGGTATGAGCCGTCGCTTGATTCTTGCAAACGCCATAGCAGTGGTGTCTTTGTGCACCATGATGCTTCCCAGCATGCCAACCATCGGGATGCTGTGTTTGCCCCGAATCTTGGTTGGAGCAGGATGCGCCTTCTTCAATGTCATCACTCCATCAGTGGTTGTGGATTATTATCCGATTCCAGATAGGGGATATGTATTGGCTCTCGGCCAGATCACCACTTTGGCGGGAGGAGCCGCCGCATATGCGATTGTGCCAATGATTGCAGAAGCTGCTGGCTGGAAGGCAGCAGTGTTTGCCGTTGGCGCGCCAGGTTTGATGTGCGCCCTCTCCCTGCGGCTCATGAGGGAACCGCAGCAGGGAGTACATGATGCAGTTGTACACGATGAGTCTTCGTTGCTGAAGAAGTGCCAATCAATTTTCACCAATCCGCATTTCTTGGTGATTGTGGCGGCCACCTTTATGAACTCTTTCGCAGAAGGTGCTGGGGCAGAGGCTTGGCCAGAATGTCTGAATGTTTCTTTGTGCAATGTACATTTCTTTCTGCCTGGGCTTCTGTGTGGCTTGTAAGACCTTTTCCGCTTTTCCAGTATTTCAGTCAGGAGTTTAGGTTTTGGTGGTTATGCGGTCCAGCCAGGGAAGCCGTTGTTGACACCGCTTTGAGCACAAAGGAATGGTTCCCGACCTTTTTGATAAGGTATGACGGACAGAGTTCAGAAGCAGCAGGTTTCGAGTGTGCCCTGGGGGCCATGCTGGGTGCCCTGGTTGGCAGCACCCTCGGGGCGAAGGCTTGCAAACGCTGGCAGCAAGAGGCCAAGAACATTTACATGCTCGTGCCTGCTATTGCTACCTTAGTGTCTATTTGGGCGTGCGTGGCTTGTCTATCGTTCCGCATCTACTACGCCTTGCCGCTCATTGCCCTGTCCGGCTTCTACATGTCCGCATTTGCAGTTAACACGGTGGCCTTGAGCGTGTTGACCACAACAGTGTTCACATCGCGTGAACTCAGCTTAGCCATATCGGTTCAGACAATTTCGGGCTGCGGACTGCTTGCCCCAGTCGTTGTTGGATGGCTCTCTGACAAAATGCATTCTCTCCGTTCTGCGCTGGTCTTTCCGACCCTGGTGCAAGCACTTTCTGGATTGCTGCTGTTGATCTGCTCACAGTGGCTTGGTGCATCAGGAACAGAAAGCTCCTCCCAAGATGAGCAGGGCAATTCATCTCTCCTGTCTCTATTTGACACGGTGGATGAACTTGAGTCTGAGGAGCAATGGCCTTCTGAGCAGAAGTCGGTCATGTACGGGTCCATTTAGTTCGCTTGCATTTGTGATCCTGACGCTCCGCGATGACAGAAAATAAGCAGATATTTGATGCTCATGTTTATGTCGGCACAGGTGTTGGGTGACGGGCGGCTTTGTGAATCTTTGAACACTGAAGATTTGCCTGTAGTGCACGAGGTGAAGCTTAGCAGGGCATGATTGCAAAGCATGTGTGCTATCCAGTATGCTGCTAACCTGCTAGACAGCCGCAATATATGATAAAAGCATGATGAGAAGAGAGCCTTAGTCGAGCTACTGGATCGTTGCCCCCCCATGTGAAATGCCAGCAGCGTCGATAGACAAGTCGTAGTGTCCTGGCATGCTTTTTGTTTCTGGCTGTTATGCGCGCTGACTGTTCAGGCACCTGTGCTTGTCCTTGAGTCTTTGCATTGCAGATGTAGAGAGAGTACAAGAATCTGGCAAGAACGTCCGGCAGAAGAGCTCGACTGAGGCATTCCGCAACTGCATACTGGTGGCCTGGGGCCGTGCCACGCAGCGTAGGCAGATGTACTAACATGGGGATACATCGGGACACAAGATATTCTCTGGTTTGACATGGGTACTACCCTACTATTGGAGAATCAAATTGAAAAGAGCATGGAAAATGAAATGGAACCTAGATTATACAGGGATAAGAGGATGTGAAAGGTTTTGTGTGCAGGGTTTTGTGAAGAGAATTCAGCGCAGGCTAATGTGACCTCGTGCAATGTGCGGACCAGGGCAGAGATCAAGAGTTCACAAGTTTCCCAAGACAGTTTCAGCTGGCAACTGCGACCCTACACGTGCGCGGCCAGATTGAATTGTCTGAGAGTCTGAGAGTTCTGCTGATGGGGTTGACAGAGAGCTTCCATAAACTGCAGTAAACGCCCACTGAGAGACCAGAGTGCAGCCTGTGCTTGGAACTGTCAGGGAACGCTCTTGACCCTGCATCTGCAGGCAAAAACTGGCCGCCTCAGGGACTGATTCGGAGATCAAATTGGGTGGGCAAGGAAGAGGGGAAATTGTGGCTGGTCCTTCGTACAAGGCGCTGTGATGGGGGCAGGAACCTCTTTGGAAACCCTCCTGCACGCCGTGCAGGGCTCGGGGATTGGGTGTTCATTCCCCCCCAAATCTTGCCCTTCGGCCTCCCGATCATGGCTTGGCTCCCCATCACAGCGTTCCGGAAACCTTTGGGGGGGACCCAGCCAAGGTACACTTCGGCGTTCTTCTCTATGAATGGAAGAGTGCAGAATCTCAGGTGCTTCCCGTAAGGGGGCTGGCCTCGACTCTCCAGGGTCCCTCCCCGTAAAGGGCCCGTACCCATGCCCCGCCCGCAAGCATTTGCCTTGGCCTGGAACCATTAGAAACCGGGTGGAACCTTGCCGGCGCCCTGCAAAAAAGCGGGTTGAACAACAGTGAATAACACAAACGTGTCTTTGTTATCAGAATCATTCCTGCGCCGCACAAGCCTGAACGAATTCTTTACAGCTTGGATCGTGGCTCAGGCTTATGTGGGTCAAGACATGGTTTCTGGGCTTTGTCTACGCCTTCTCCTTTGCAGGCGAGAAATGCTGTTTTCCAAGCGACTGACATTGGCATTTCATATCACTGTAACCTTTAACCATCCATGCCTTGTCTAGAACTGTCGTTGCCAAGATCAGGATTCCTGTGTTCTGTTGTGTTATCGTATACAATACTTTAGATTCCATTTCTTTTCAGTCTGGATTCGTTCATGGTGTAGCACCCCAATGTTTCCCCCAAACCTTCGCTTAAACCTTCTGCCTTTCTTTGCCTTTGCTGGGTGCAGAACCCAAACCACAAACCCCTAAACCCGGTGCAATTTTACCTCGGCAGGAAGTGTGATTTTTGCCTGTCGCCAGCTGCGTTTCTGGCAGCTGCTTGATCACCGTCACGACACTTTGTGTGGAATAGAGCGACTTAATGGTGGGTAGTAGGGAATGAGGGAATACAATCCCTACATAGTATGTTCCCCTTATTCCCTGCTAACCCCCAGTAAGACGAGCAGCATTCGATCTTAGCTCTTGCAGCTACAAGAGCTCTGACCTAAAAGGGCTGAAGCGGAAATGTCAACAGCTGTTTGGAGTTCAGCGATGTAACCTGGACCAGCAGCAAGCAGTGTTGCCTTTGCTAGCTTTTTCGTTCTCTTCGCTGTCTCCCTTCCGCATTGCCAGAATGCCGAGGACACGATGAAAGACTATGCGCTCAGACTGGTTGGTCTTCCATGTCTGGAAGGGGCTTTGCGCATTGAGGAGGAGCTCAAGGACACAGTGCGAGAAAATCATGGAAGCCTTCAACTGGGCAGTCTTGACAAAGAGAGACAATTCCTCCTTTAAGCTGCAGGAAAGCTTGCAGATCGCAACTGGACACACGGTTGTGGGTGTATCTGTCTGCTGGGACTACCGCGAGCACCAGGCTCGCGTGCGCTGCTGCTTTATGCATGTTGAGGCAAGCCACCACTGCCCCCCCAACCACAACAAGGAATGAAAGGAAAGCTAATATGAATATGAGAACGAAGAAAGCAAACCACAAGCAGAACAAGATGAGGAAGACAAGCAATTTCTTGAGTTGCTTCTGTAAATCTGCAATGCATGAGGTCTGGAACTAGAAATGGGAAGCGTCCAGGAAGTTTGCCCGGCATCTGCGTGCTTGTAAGGGGCAGTGGTCCAGGAAGTAGCAGTCACGGGTCTGCATGTGTCCTCATAGTACTCTATCCAGACTGCACGAAATCATAGCAGGCGCAGTGGATTTGTAGTTTCGGGCATTTGGGAGAGGGGTCCGTTGCCAAGATTGAAATTATGTTGTTGAGGCTTGCGCTCCTTTCCATGCTTGCGCACCTACGTCGATCACGCTCCTTTTTGAAGGGACAGGTGTGACTCCGACACCAACAGCAAAGACATGCAAAGACCGCACCATTTGGGGTGGCTGCAATGGCCACTGACACAACTACGGCTGCAGAATCACTAGCTGTTTGCAAGGGGTTCTGCCATGGTCCTTACGCAGAAGCAGCCTTCAGCCCTACAGCCCCAGGAAGCTGTTCGAATCGAGCTACAAAAAACCATGGGCAGACAACAGCAAGATCCTGAAGGCCTGGCTTAGATGAAGCCAATGCTATGATTCGCGCAAGCTGCCGTTTGACCGTCATGGTGCCATCAAGATCCTTCCCAAATAATCTCTTTCGAAAATCGCTGATGTGACTTGAGCTACAAGTTGAGGTGGAGGGATCGCAGGCTGAGGTCTACTGGTATGAAGGCTTTGCAATTTACTTGAGTCCTGGGCTAACTGCCGGCCTACATTGCCAAAGTCGCTCAGCTACCCTCGGGCTTGGTGAGGATCTGTCCGAAGAAGTCAAGCTGGCAGCTCGCAGCAGGATTTGCAGCATGCAGACTTTAGTCAGCGAGGGCAGGATGTGGATTTTAGGCATGATAGAAATAGCAGCAGATCTGAAAAGTCACAACAAAAGGCAGAATTAGACACAACAGCGAAAAAGCCTGGGACAGTGATTCTAGCGGGTGCTGTAGCCTGAGTCGTGCTGCTGCAAGGTTGCTGTACTGGGTGAGTGCCTGCCATTTGGTTCCATCAAAGCGTTGGTTGCAGGACATGAACCTGATGCGGAAGACCCTCTACCACTTCGAGCAGATGATCCTTCTGGAGGAGACGCGCGTGCCCACGTGTTACCAGCATCTCACGTAACTGGGGGATTGGCGCCAACTTATGTGCATGACAAGTGAGATCCTCCGAATTGGCGGGATCTCTAGGGCAAGGACAGCAAAGAGCAATCACTGTTCCTGTTCTATACTGCCAGCTAGGTCAGTGCAGTTGTTCTGATCACTCTTGGAATTCTTGCCCGTTGCGGCTTTAGAAGGCCTACATTTCCATTATCCTAACTGTTTGCTTTCAGTGAGTTGAAGTACTATGATGCGGGCATCCGCCGTTCTGGACTCCCACTGACTAGGAGAGAATGGAGGAAAGGGATACGGGCCCGCTACGGGGACCATCACTGGGATCTTTAGGGGCATCCATGACTTCAGTCCTTGCGAATAGCTGACTAAACAGGCGCAAAATGGTGCATATTTTAATGCCGAGCAGGATGCAGCTCAAGAGCTTTCAGAGGAGGCAGGGGCCTCAGATGAAGGGAAGGCCTGTAGCTCACTGCCGGCCTTTGCAAAACGGCAGATATTGAGGAGCTCTGCACTTGCTTGACTTCTCTGAGGCAAGGGGAGCATGTGATCTAGAATGGCCAACTCTTCTTTTGAAACACTCTCCTGATCGCTTGTGCTCGAAACCTGGAGACTGCCACGTCAGGTCTTGCTCCACGGCATTCGCAGTCTTTGACACAGAGCGTGCCCGAGATGAGGCCAGCAAGAGCTGAGCCAGAATTCGGGTCCAGCACCGAATGGGCGCTGCTTCAAACTTTCAAGTCTGCTCCTGCCTTGCGAACAACATCATAAAAGAAAACTTGATGTAGTTTGGAGTGGCTTCACCCTACCCTGGCCAACCAACTTTAACACTTTCATGGTTGAGATTCTCATTCGGTTCTGTGAATTTAGGGGTTCCATGAACATGCGCCAGGAATATTCTAATCCTTATGATAAGGACTCCTCAAAGAGGAAGTCTGGAGCTTTCCTTTTGAAGGCTGCCAAGGCGCTCTCATCGGGCCTGGTCTTTCGCGGCGCTGTGTTGGAGGCTACTCCTGCCACACGGGAACCCCATGGGGCGGGGGCTCCCAGATTTTCCGCTGCAAGCCGTGTTCTTAGAGGAGCCAATCAGCAGCATGCTGCCAGTTCAGTTTCAATCCGGCCAAGGTGAATTGGGAGAATATGGACACAAGCGGACTTGCAGGTAAGCTGGAAAGGTCCTATCCTCAGGGGCGCCGGCAGAGGCACCTTGTTCGGGGCCTCATATCCTCACATAAAGGACCTTGCATCATGTTGAGGGAAAAGGCGCAAGCTTGTTTGTGACATGGGCGGTGTTCGAAGTGCGAGTCCAGCTCCGAGCGACGGCCTGTTGCCAGCTGCATGTTGCAACAGCTGAGGCTGGGGAGAGGTTTTGTCCTGATCCTGCTCGGTGTGACCTTGTACCTGCTCGTCTTCTACGCTCCATATGCTACCCTGCCACATGAGATGTTAAGGCATATGCGGACCTGCATCATGCTAGCTGCTAACCTTCAGAGAGATCGCGGAAAACGCAGGTGTGCACTGCCTTTGTGGTCTCCAAGGGGATTCCCCCCTTGCACGTCTTTCCGTGATCGGGGCAGCTTTCCAGCTTGAGGCTTGGTCGATCCTGAAGTTCAATTACGAAGGTGGCCGCCAGCCTGGCATCGACGCCTGGCAAGAATTAAGAACTTTTGGAAGTTGGACCCAGTGTGGCAGCTTTGTTCATTCAGAGCGGAAGTCAAAGGTGTACACCATTGCCTTCTCGCTGGTCGTGTGCATCGGCAACCTTCTCATGGCTGAGATGGCAAGTCGTGTGGCAGATACCATCGGCTTTGATGCTTGGATGTGCAATGTTGCAGTACTCCAGGTCACTTCCCGTGCCATGTCTCCCCATGATGCTTCTGTGCTAGCTTGCTGACAAAAGAAGCTGTGAAGGGAGTGTGGCCGCAACAAGGAATACAAAGAGACCAGAGAGAATTGTTACATGGCCCTCTACTTGATGGCTATCGCCTCTCGGTTATGCACTGGAGCCTTGCCGAGCACCATGCCGGCCACACATGCTCCCAGGTCGTTAATGTTGGTCTCGACTTGTGGACCACCTACTACATGGCGTCTCAGAGCTTTGGCTGCAACAGTTGCTTGCCTGATGCACCATGTCTGCACAAGAGCCGTGGGTGAGCTGTCAGCTAATCTCTGCAGCGCAAACCGGCAACTGTGCTGTGACTTGGCGCTGGAATTGTGTTCTTTCTTGTCCAGAACTGTTGTGGCTCCATGACTTTTACTCAGCAAATCTCAGCAATCACACTCGAAGCTCAATACCTCCCGGCACAGTGAGTCGCCACCTAATGAGTAATTAGTTGAAGCATGCAGTGTGCAGGCAAAATGGCGAAATAGGTCATATGAGCTGGGGCTGACCAAGCTGTGCTGTTCAAACAACGGCACATGGGTGAGGGCTCGTTATCAAACCTTGAAGATACAGTTTTGCTACATGTTGCGGGTGCTGCCAACCCTCTCGCAGCGCAGCCCCCAGATAGAGTATCCTCTCCGTGATCCTTTTACCACACGCCACGCGTAGCCATGGATTCTGTGGCTAGCGCGGCGAGCGCAGTGGTGCGGCAGTCAACCCTGGCGATTGGCGCTGCGGCCGATGAGCTGGCGCGCCAGGCAGGAGATGGCACATGACACCGATGATCATCCATGACCAATGGCCCATGGCCCTGCAAACGCGCGTTTGTGTGTTTGTGTGTTTGCGAGGCGAACGCCGTCGTCCAAGCCACCTCTGAGTCAGATCCAATTTCCTGGCTTGCAGGCTGATCTTGTTCATATTATCAATAATTATTATGCATATTAGTAATGTTATTATTAGTATTACTACTACTATTATTTAGGTCTAGGCTGGCCTTGGCACGACTCGACTGGTTTGCATGGCTGTTGTTGAGGTTCTGGTACTTAGGCCCCTTAAAGTTCCTTAAAAGCTCGTGGCCTGACATCTCACCCCTTACCTGCTTACCCCATGTATATCTGTTTATGACGTTAGCCACTCCCCAGATTCTTTTTCCTGCGCCCGATCTGCCTCAGGGGAAGAGGATGAGCTGTCAGCAGGCCCCTCAAGCCTGCCCCCCATTCCAGCCCCAATACCAACACCCCTAGCGGCCCTGACCTCCTGGGGTGCCTGGGGCCTGGATGATGCCCCAGTATGGCACCGATGCTTGGATGAGAGATGGCAACTTTTGGAGGCTTAGGTCCTTACCATCTCCTTCGTTATATAAGGGTCTCTAAGTGCGCCTAGCCCTCACGCACATACGCACATGATCATACCTAAGATACCTGCAGAAGCTGGTGTGGGCAATCGAGGCAGCTAGCAAGAGCAATTGGACAAGTTTAGAGTTGAATTACCAGTTGGGTCCTTGAGTTCCAGGGAGGAAACTGCCACATTAGCACAAGACAACCTCAACTGACTGTTTTGTGTGTACATCTGAGAGACAGGAGAGTCGCACTAGAAAGGGGCCCTCCTGCGTTGCGCGGCCGACTGCAAGCTTTCGCAGCCATAACCTAACTTGCCCCGAAGCGTGTGAGATTTTGTTTCGAAGCCACACGAAGTCGTCCTTCGTGCAGCCCAGGGCCCTTCTCTGTGGAGCCGGACATCAACTCCAAGCTGTTCCTGTGGCAAGGGGACATGTGCAGCCTGGAGGTTCGGGAGAGCTAGGAAGGTGTTTACAAGCATGTCAGCTCAGAATGTACAAGCCTGAAATGGGTGCATTGTTTCACATGCTTCCTCCAGTGCAGGTGGACGCACTCCTGGCGCCAGTTGCTGCTGGCTACACGCCAGGCTGCAGCACCGTCTTCGGCCGAGTCCTGCAGTACGGTGGCATGGACCCAGCTGTCGAACGAAAAGCTATGCTGCCTGCTTTACTACATTTTCAAACTCAGATAGCAGATAGCCGTTTGCCGAAGCCAAGCTCCGAGGAGAGCCAGAGTTAGGGAAGTACCGTCCACTAGCTCCTCGTGAAATCTTTCAGCACTCAACCGTCAACCTGATGCTGACTGGCATGACCTTGAAGATAAAATTGCCAGGACCTGCGCGAGGAGCTTCGGCACATGGAGGGTTGCCGCAGTGGGGAGGCCAGAAAGTGTGAAGCTGGAGACTGCAGCTATGCCATCTTTTCGCAGCAGTCCTTGCATCTATTTGCACGTCCTTTCCCTGACAGGCCCGCAGCTGCAAGGCGTACAACTTGCCCTGCCAGCGGCTTCTTTTGACCGTCGGACCCAAGTACAAGGAGCCCAGCTCTAAAGGTACGATAATCGAAGCATTTGTGACATGCTGTAAAGCAATACTCCTTCTAGGGCGGCTTTGCTACAGATCCTTGGTGTCAGCACGCCCTTGTTGAAAACTTGCAGCAGGCCACGGCCGCCAAACACTTACCAAAGCGCAATCGGGCATGCAAAGTGCTAGAAAACCTGTCGCTTGCTTCCGGCACTGGACCCTATATCCCCCGAAACCTTTGCACTGACCTAACGGGTGTCACAAATGGTCTACAATCAGGATTGTTGTGTGACGTCAACTTTGTGGCCCCATTGCAGTATGAGAGACAATCTGTGTGGGTTCGAGCGGACGGATGGGTTCCACTCTGGGCGAAGCATCATGGCTGTTTCCAACTCCATGTGCACGGATGTTGTTTCAGACCCCTCCCATAGTAGGCTATCATGGGTTCAATGCGGCAATCAGCGTTGCGAAGCACGTCAGTACCAACATCTAATGCAGGGCCATGCTTAGCTGTATCACATCGCGCTGTGCAGCTAGCCCCTGCGGTTGCTCCCGGCTTTTTGCACTCTTAGTTGTCGTAAGCACACAACACATGAGAACGATGCCAGGACAAGTATCAGGTGGCTGCGCAAAATACACTGAATGCCTGTTACAGGGAGTCAATGCAGCTTCTGGTGGAATCTGGGCATCGGACCATCGCGGTTCCGTGCTACTGGTACAGCCAGGGATACCCCATGGAGGAGCAGGCTCACGTTGGTTTGAGGACTCTTCGTCGGTGTTTGGAGAAGCTCCGAGCCTCTGTAGATAGTGCAGTGCTGGTAGCTGGCACGACCCAGGAGCTTGAGCTGTACGAAAGTCTGCTGCCTCTGTATTTCCCCCGGAATGAATTCGAGGCAAGGCACGCAGCCGCCGTACTTCCAGACAGTTGTTGGAACGAGTGGGGCGAGGTGAGTATGGAAGAGCGACGTATTCGCGTCTCAAACCACGTCCTGTCGAATCGCCAAGAGGATGAGGACAGTGACCTTGTCTTCGGCGAAGAGGATCGATCCTTTTTGCACGCCCGAGAGGATGCAGATTTTGCGGCGATGCAGCGGTTGGAGGGCACCATGATCAGTGCTGAAACTGTTGAGGAGGCACGACATATTTGCTTCCGTTATCTGCGAAGAGCCAGAGAAGTCCCGGCCGAGAGTGAGCCGAAGCGCTTTGTTTACAATGGTGGCCCGGACTACTTTGGCCGCCACGTTGTGGTACTGCTTGGGGCACGCCTTCCCCCCCTCGGGGTTCAGGATGAGCGAACCCTCCCACTGTTTGTCAAAGAGCTGGAGGCTGTTCAAAGCGATAGTTTTATCCTCCTTTACGTCAACAGTGAGGTCGATGGCATGGACACCACGGTGCTGGAGGCATTGCAGGAGATGCTTGCCGTTGTCAACGCAAAATATCGTCGGTCCATGGCACAGCTTTTGGTTTTGCACCCTGGGCTTTGGTTCAGGGCTGCCTTTGCCCTTGGCCGTGCAGTGACCGATGAAGCTGCCAGTGTTTGGCACGACAGTGTTTACTTGGAGTGTGTAGCGGATCTCGCGTCCTTGCTGAGCCTCGACCAACTGTACTTGCCGGACTTCGTGAGGTGGAGTGAACAGCAATAGTCGCTCCCGTTTGCGAGTTGCAATTGCAGCGATGTGTCGAGAGCATTGTCCCGGTGCCTTTGTTCGATTGTCTCAAGCCGCTTGTGGTTTGGGCCTCGTGCTGGGTACGTATCGTTTCACCCAGGCCTAGTAGGCTGTCGTATGGACGGCCACAAGCAGGCTCTGAAAAGGAAGCCAGAGCAATTGCAAAAACAACAAGGCCTTAGGAACCCAGCTTCGAATGCCAGTGACGTGTTATGGATATGCATGCGGCAGCTAGCAGTGGCGGGTCCTTGGTTGCGATCTCAGAGTGTACCAAGGATCATGATTGGTCTGGACTTCCGGACGGCGGCTTGACATGGCCAAATCCAGATTATGGTGGGGGAACTTGTTAGTCTCGAAGTTGCAAGGCCTTTTTTTGCGACTCCTATATATCACAATTTTGGTGGAGGGTGTGACTTTTAAACATTGCTGGGCATGGTGACATAGTGTAAATTAGCTGCTGCAGGGCACAGTGAGGTTGTGATAAGGGCTCTGAGGAAGATGGTCGCCTGCTGGTGGATGTGGACAGCTTCCTGGAGCGCTTCGAAAGCTTCCTGGTGTAATGACCTGGGGTGCCCTGCAAAGTTGCCCCGCAAAGTGAAAGTTATGACCGCCTCTGCCTTAGCCTAGATAATTTTTGGCCTGCTTGTTTGTAAGGCTTAAGATCCTGGCCTCATCTTAGGCTATGCTTTGCAGCGGTCCATGGGTCAACAGCTCTATGAGTATGCGTGGCTTGGTGCTCCTAAAGTACTCAAAGAACGGCAGCTGAGCATTGGGGATGCAAACATTTGCGCTTTTCTCAGGTTCCCTTGCACTTTTCTGGTCCCTTTCGTTGCTGAGCCGGTGGCTGTGATCTTCCTATTCTCCCGCACCTTCATGTGCCTTCTCCAAAGCGTTGATGAAGCTCACAACGTTGTTGTTTTTTGTGCTGACAGGCTGCTTATCCGGAGCCACCCGGAGCTCAAGCTGCGGGAGAGCCGCGGCTGGCTGGCCGCCATTCCTCTTGACCTTGGTCGCTACGCTGCCGCTGGACAAAAAGCCATTTTGGGTGAGAGTGGCAAGGCGCCACAGCAATTGATTGCTTGCTATCATGATCTGGTCTTCAAGGACTGTCTTGTGAATGTCTTCTTGGCCGTGCTGGTGTGGAGGCCTCAGCTTGTAGCTCAACGATCCCCCGGCAAGGGCTTGCTTGGACGTTTCAGATTTATCTGCTAGAATTAAACGTGGCCATGGTCCATGGCATTGTCAGATCGCATACAGGAAACAGGCAGGAATGTAGGAGGCGTATCGGCGAGCAATCATGAACAGGTGCATCTCTCATTATAGCTACCAGCCACAATCGAGTTGTGGGTCAGATGAGCTTGCTATGCTGCACGCCTTTCAATTGTAGCGCTTACGTGGCGCCGAGGTTCTTCTTTCCTGGTGGCTACACCCATTGGGTGTTTGGATTGTTGGCTGTCAGCCATGCTTACGTATATGCTGGGAGCTCGATATGCTCGAAAGTGGCTGACCTCAGATTGATATACAGACCCAAGCTAAGGCTTACGATCATTACAAGGTCTTGCGCGTGGTGCCACGAATGGTCATCCACTCTATGAGCGTGGATTTCTGCGCGCAGGCCTGTACATGCATCTGATCTTCGGGAAGGGAGGAATCACGCAATCAGGCTCTCTTGGCTCCAGCCTGTGGAATCTTGCACCTTGGCAAACAGTCTTACCCAGATCATGCCATTATTCATGAGAAGTTTTCAAGAGAGGGTTCCGCGATGCTACAGAGACGTGCGTGTAATCATCTTTGTGAGATGGATGCCGAATCCCTGCAAAAGGCTTGCCTGCTTGATCTTCAAAGCCAACTGCATCAAAGACTCTTGGTACTGCCACTTGGACCTAGCACCATGGTTGGCATGCACGGAAGTAAGCCTGCAAAACCTGCGAGTAAGCTTGAGTTCAAGGCCTGGAGTCGTACCCACTGCTATGGGTGTGCCTTTCGGGCTTCATCTTGCACTGCGCTCCTCGCCTCCGTGTGGCTGATTGGCCCAAAGATGCCCCTGTTCTGGTTGAGTCCAAGGCGGTCCATACGCTCATCCTTTGGTTTGTGGTGCCCTTCTTTGCTCTGCAGCGTACTGAAGAACGAGTCTATCGCCAAGATGCTAAGCTTCTTGGCATCGAGGGCTGGGCGTTTTGCAGCAGTTTCCACCATGATCTTGTTGACTCTTCAAACTTCAAGGAGCTTCAAAGATGTGGCAGCAGAAGAGCCATGCAGCTGGTTGCTAGCTGACATCCAGGATGGTTCCGAATCTGCCAGCATGAGATGGATGTTCCAATGCAAGATTGGTCATGCAGCTTCTGACATCCCAGGTTCACAGCAAATCCCATCCACTGCTTGCGATCCAGACTGGACCTGCTCTCAGCCCCTGTGAGGTCTTGTGCTACGGTTAGAAAAGAAGAGTGAGGCATTGGGACACAGCATGACCCATAAAGCCGTCTCAGTCTGCAGTAGCTGTGAATGAATAACCCGCTGAGATCTACAAGCAGTCTCCTCCTTGCAGCTTCTACATGCCTGGAATGGAGCACACGATGGAGGCCCGGGCCCGGCAGAAGCTCATGTATCTTCACTAGGTGGACTGAACAAGGCCCTTGGGACCCGATGGTTGGCAGGTCAACGAGAGCATCGGATGCCACTTCACGGAGGTTGACAAGCCTGTGGAAGACGTGCTTCTGCTGACAGTCATCCAATTGCTACTGCTTTCAAGCAGTGTCCACAGCCCTGAGGCCCAGAGCTACCTGCGATTGCCAACCATGCGGGACTTGAAGCACCTCGATTGCAATCTCCTGTCAATGACCTACGCTCAATGCTTGGGCCATGACGTGTGAGGGAAGTTCCGCAAGCATGCGGCCTCTGCTTGCATACGGAAGATTTGCCTGCAGGGGTGTCCTGGGTGAGCATTACGAAGATGATGAAACCAAAGGTGACACAGGACCGACTCACGGAGCGAAATTAAGCTTTCCCTTTGGAGATCTGTCAGGCTGCAGGTTTCGTGGGAGCATTGATTTCATCTGTGACAGGAGCCACGACCTGAGCATGAACTGCCGCGCAAAAGGTCGGCCGCAGACACAGCACGCAAATGGGATTCGTAGGCGTCTCCACGATGCAGCCGCAGCACAATGCAGTTGACTTGCGTAGCAAACCCTGGCAAGTGTGACGACAGTGAAATATTGGACAGAGCATAATGTTCGCTCACACCATCTCGCACGGCTGTAACATCCGCTGCATCTTGTCTTGTTATGCTAGGCATGCCGCAAGTAGACTGGATGAGGTTTCCAGCATCTGACAGCAGATCAGAAACAACAGAAGTTAATAATGCTTCGAGGGCTCCAAGAAGCGGCCTCTTTGCAGCCATCGGGCTCAAGGCGAGTGGCAGGAATCAGGAGGCTCTGTCAGGAGGTATGATGCGGCAGAAGCAGGCCCAGAGAATGGCAGAGCCTCTTGGCAGCAAGTAAATGCCTGAGATGCGCAGTTTTCACATTGGCGTGATGGTCCGAGGTTTGATCTGCCATGCACCCGGCCAATGAATCAAATTCGCGGCTTCGAGACTGAGACAAAGGCCTCACTCATAGCTTTGCTTTCACCACCTTGTATCATGCCCCTACAGGAAGCACAGCGAGCCGCGCGCACGCGCGAATCGCTTCGTCAGCTGGGTGCCAAGAAGGAGCCCAGAGTTTCGCGCCTATTGCGCTGCCACATGTTGCCATGACATCTTCATGCTCTGTGATGATGGATCCTGCATGCAGTTGATTGCAGGATCTCTTGAACTTGGACTCGTACCTGCTCGACAGGCAGATTTCTCCTGTTATTCGGCAGCTAGCACTTGGTAGATGCAACATCGAATCGAAGGGCATCAACGATGTCAACATTTCTGCCTGCAGGCCTGAAGCCGTGAATATGCCAGTGCTGTTCGACCAGGCCTCGGCACAAGCCATTACGCATCATTTGCTCGGTGAAGGGGACGAGTATAGCAAGGTTGTGGGGGTGCTACAGCTTCTGTTTGCGTTCAAAATTAGACCAGCCCCTCAGCCTGGAACTCTGCATGGTGAATCTCCACTTTTCGTGCAAGGGATCCCTTCTGCACGTTGCAGCCATGCGAGGACACCAGGCTGGCTCCAGCTTTGTGCCGCTGTCTTGTGTAGATGTAGGTGGCGCGCGGTCCGCATGAGACAAGCTGGCAAGTTCTGACTTGCCGAACATGAGTGAGACTGCTTGCGCTTGCTGAGCGTTCGTTTCTCAGAGTTCTGCATGGTGAAGTAGACCAAGTAGGCGCTGTTGAAACAACGTGGATTTCTTGGTCATGGAGTTCTTTTAAATGGAGAGTTTACGCAGGACATGGTCCAGATGCTGATCCATCAGCGTGGTGCAGACGTAGTTCTTGAGTTGCACACAGAGTCCGTCGGATTTTTCTGCAATGATCGCTCGCTAAGAATCCGGTGGATGTGTCTGCAAGGAAAGAACAAACTATGCTCAGCAGACGTCGCTTCATGCAGCCTGCGATGGCAACTACGCCAACATTGTCGTGGATCTCCTTGCAGCTGGACTTCCGTGCCAGACTTTGTAGGGGTGCCGAGAGAAACCAGGAGAAAGTCTCCCAAGTCCGAGGAAGGTAGTCGAGCATGTCGAGCACTGCTGGGTGTTTCTCTCGAGGCTGCCCGTTTTCAGGTTTCGACTTGTCTTGCATTGCAGAACCAGGAGCCGATGCAGACAAGCGCGATGCGTTGCGCCAGACGCCTTTGCACCGTGCGGCGCACGTGGGGGCTGTGGATTGTCTCCTGGCGCTGCTGGAGTGAAGAGTGCTACCAGTTGCCAGTTGCTGCGATTGTTCATGTCTTCTGATCTCCAAGCAACATTGCTGTAGACTTGCTAGCCTGTGGAGTCTACAGACTGCTGTGCTGCAATCGTATTCTGCAAATGTGATGCGACTCAGTTGGGCGTCCTGTCCTGTGCAGCATGCGCATCTACGCGTTTAAGAATCATGTAATGTGTCACAGTCGTCCTCAGGGATGGAACGCCACACCGATTTAAACCTGCAGTGCTCTGCGCGTCCAGCAGGAGTATGGTGCCAACTCAAAGCTCAGGGATGAGGGCGGCCTGCTTCCAGTTCATACTGCCGCCCGGCAGCAAATTCAATTCCAGTAAGCTTTCAGCACCATATTATAGCACCATCATGTTTCTGTCAAGATCTTTCGTGTGCAGGCTGCCCTGCGTGGCAGGGACGAAGCTTTGCGGCTACTCATTTCGCAGGACGTTTTTTTGCTTATTTCCGGTGATTGAGCAGGCTCACACGGCAAGAGCAGCCAGGACCCGACCTCCGCCAATGCTGAAGCGGCAGATGGCTGGACACCCTTGCCACCAGACCCATCCAAGCATTAACTTTGGAGTCCTAAATAGCAACTCAGTGCGAGAAGCAGCTTGAGCCATAAGCCTTAATCACCTGGTCTGACCTTGCCCAGATGAGCAGTTCATTCACAGAAGGATCAGAACCATCTGAGGCATTTCGCCAGTCACGGCGGTCATGTCTCAGCCACAGAGGTGCAATCCTGTTGCTGTTGCTGAGGGTGCTTGACATGAGCCATGCCTGATAGTGTCACCCCCACCACTCAGAGCCTGACATCACCTTGGAGGCTCTTCTGGAATGTGGCGCCTATGCGCATTTGGTGGACAAGGCAGTCTGGTACAAAGTTGCTGAAAGTGTCTAGGTGCAATTAATGTCACGGCACGCGCAAGCAGCCGCTTTCAAACCTTGAAAACTTCCTCACCTGGGCCTCCCTCATTGGGGTTATATCGAGAATGGAAAATGGAATGGAAACTGCATTATGGTCCCTTTTTTTGGGTGCCCTAAATATTCGGTGCCGTATTATAATAGGGATCCAAAAGGGGACCATAAGTTTGACAACCACCCATATGGAGGTTATAGCCACAGAACTTACTTAAGCCTGTGGCGAGGAGCGGCGCACGGCGTTGCACTGCGCGGCGGCCTCGGGCTCTGAGGCCACGTGCTCGGCCCTGCTGCGCGTAGGCAGGGATGGGGGGATGTCATGCTATCACTATTTCTATTTCTATTTCTATTACTATGATTGCTGTACTATGAGTACCATTATTTCGATTATCATGAGTACTAGTGGTACTATTGTTGCTATCGTTACTTTCATCACTAGGGGGTAGGGTGGCACAGCGGCACCTGCGGCTGCGTGTGCAGCTACAGGCGAGGGAGTCATGATTGCTGCGGTATTCGCCATAGCCATCGCCAAGTCCGATAGAACCAGAGCAACGTCATAGAGAATCAGCTTTTAGATTCTCATTACCTGCACTTTTTTTCGGATTGAGTTGTGCTCGTGCGACCGTGTGGCCGAGCCGGACAGGATCCGATTTTTTTTGCACACTGGGGATTGAAGGTGCTGAGCTGGAGTGCCTCGACCAGTTGAAGAAGATGCCGATCCACATTGCCTGTGAGGCGGCAAGCTGTTTAGAACCGGAGAATTCATACTTGCGTTTCTTTTTTTTCCTTTCCTCTTCACAGCAGAGACTGCAACGTCATCAGGGCCTGCTTTGGTTTCTGTGCAGAGGGTGCTGTAATTTTCATGTGTTTCATGACGTGATGCGAAACACCCCTTGTAGGAAGGCTGCATCCAAGTCGTGCGCTTTCTCCTCGATGCTGGTAGCCCGTTCGACACGTTGGATGGCCAGCGCAGGAGGGCTCTGCTTTAAAAGCCCCGAGACTCACATGAGCTATGGTCTACACTCCTTAAATTAAAGGGGATTATATAGGGGAGTAGTATAGGGGATATTATGGGGGATACTAGGGCTTCAGGCTATAGCTCACATGACCTCCTGATTCAACTCCCTCCTCCTCGTGTAAGCCCTGACTTGGGATGGCGGTGCAGGACCCCCCTCCTGATCGCCACGCGTGCTGCCAATCTGGAGCTTTGTGAGGTGGGCAGCAGAACGCCCAACACATGGGTAGTTCCCAAAATAACGGTCCCATGTTGATACCCCTAAATAATATTAGGTGCCGTAATATAATCTATATCAAAAGGGGCCCATGATTTTGAGAACAACCCACATAATTCTTACAAGGACTAGGTTCTGGGTTTTGCGGGCATGGGTTTGTGTAATGGTCCCTATCTAGCCCATTCATAAATCTTTCCTCCACTTCTCTCTGAGCACCAAGCTCTCTGGACATGTGGTATGGAATCCTGTATAGTGCGCATGCTACAAGTCACGTACATGCCTGCGGAGTGCATCTTGGGATTATGGTGCGCTGTACGGCAAAACTGCGTTCAAGTCATGAGTCTCAGGTTGTTAGGTTGTTGACAACAGCTCCTCCAATCTGGAGGTGCTCCTCAGCATGGGTGCAGACCCAAATGCTGGAGACATGACGCGGGGAATCCCCAGTGCCGTGGCGCTGGCTGGTAGAGGTGCGGTGCTGTGGTCTGGCTTGTTGACGCTCACGCCAATGTAGTATCCTCTTCACAACGGCCTATACTAATCTTCGCAGTTCCCCTGCATCACCAATGCATCCTGCCTCGCAGGTACAAACCCTGCCCTCCGCAATCTCATCGAGGAACACCCAATGGGTGCACTGACAGACGCATGACAAGCCTGCTGTGTGGATCCCTTTCCGGGAACAGCTCACAGATCGCACTTCTGAGGAGTATGCACGCGCGGCTGCTGCAGCAGCCGCCATGCCGCTGGGTGAAGCTGAGAAGGCTGAGGGTGGCACAGTACATGATGTTCGGAGCACAGCTGTCCGGCACTCCTGGTTTGCATCTTTCTATGCGCCGGGGTTGGCTGTTATGCTCTCCCTTGAATGAAGGTGTCTCCTGACATGAGTGAGTTGCCTGAAGCAAACGCACCTTCTTGCGCACGAAAGTGTGCGGACGTCACAATTTGTTTATTGAATGTTCGACGAGCTCTAACCCACGAATTGCAAGGCTAGCCATGAGCTCGCATCCTGCTTAAACTGCAGCGTGGCAACAAACTCGAAGGCAAATCATGCTAATAGTAATCATAGCCATGACAGTAACCCACGAGCACGTCACTCGGATTGCATTTGCAATGTTTGCAAGCAGGACTGGCTCGCTCTGCTAATGATGGGAGCAGTAGCAAGAACAACGGAAATCACTCAATGCTCGCAAAGCCGTCAAAGTTATCATGAAATTTCTGAATGGGTGAAGACAGCAAGAAACAAAGATCGGCAACACGCGTGCCATGATCCTCCCTGAGCCATTGCAGGAGAAGCCTTCGGGCAACGAATCCAAGGCCTCTCTGCCTGAAGCCTGATGAGGGCAGGGCTCCCAGGTGGCCGGTGCATGGACGTGGAGCAAGTCGTTGTCATCAGCCGTCTGGATGCACTGAGATTGAGCACGTTCATGTCCAGGCTCTGTGGCCGAGGTGCGTTAAAGTGGTGATCCCATCTGAGATGATGCGCCTGACGACCCGACTCAGCGCTTAAATCCTCCTTGCCCGCAAGAGTCATTTCTCTTGCGGATGCTGTGCCCGAATACCGGGGACTATCAAGGGTTCAGACCTTCGAACTTGCGAGCACTTGAAGGAGTTGTAAAGGCACCAGGTTATGGTGGTCTGACCCCTCATAAGTGGAGGCGGCGATCTCATAGTTGTCTGTCTCCTGGTGACTGTAGTTCCCTAGCTGTCAAGCATCAGCTGGTAGAAGCCAAAAGAGCTGCAAGCACAACATCTCTTCTCATCCGGCTTGGCCAACGGGAGCTTTGCTTGGAACAAGCTACTTCCTGACGTTCACAGTATGCCACATTGTTTGCCAACAAGACCTTCGTTCCCCTAGGCCTTAGTGCATTCCCTTCGGTTTTCGTTGCGCAGAATCATTTCCTCAGACCTTCCCAGTGTGCAGAGACGATGAAGTAATGGCCCTGGTCCTGCCTTCATGCAGAAGTACTGGCAGCTGTGGGAGCCTTGCAGACTCAGCCATTGACGGCTCCAACATTTTGGCTCTCAGCGCTCGACCTGCGCTTCTGACGTCCTCGCTGCAGTTCGTCACCAAGACTTGTCCACTTGCTGCGGGCTTGAAGCGGGTCTTCCCAACATTCTGGGTTCCCATCTTCGTCCGAAAGATCATGCATGCCCATATGCGAGTCTGGGAGAAAGACCTGAACAACTTGCTGGCGATAGAGGTTTGTTACTAGTCGTTCAGGGATTGAGCGGAATGTGAACTTGACAGCATCTGGTGTCAAGTCTTCAAGATTTTGCCCTGAGCAAGAAGTCTGAGGTCGTCTCCCTCGTGCCACAAGCCGTAATGGAGGAGCCAGGGCCTCAGCAGCAGGACGGCCACCCGAAGGCAGAGCGCCAAAGAGGTAAGGAACGAATTGCATTCTTAGATCTCAAACAGGGGAAAAGCAGCTGTTGAGAGGCTTTTGTGATTCTGTAATTGCCCTTTCAGGTGGAAGCTTGACAGGAAGAACATCGTTGCAGGAAGCTTCAAGTGGCATGCAGATGAGCCGACTGCTCAGAACTGAAATGCTGCCCTCTCTCATCCTTATCCGCTCCTCTGCCCTTGACAGGTATTACTCGCGAGGCGGTAACAAGCCTTGCACCCAGTGTAGTGATTTGCAGCATTCCAGACGAAGGCCCGCATCCCTTACCTTGGCACGTGAGGCCGAAACACATGTACTCCCCAGACTGGCTGGACGTTGAAATGAAGACCCATCATGAAAAAGCCCGTGGCGCGCTTGAAGGATTTTGTGTCAAAGGGGTGCAGTTCCTACTCCGCTTCCCTGAAAGATACATTGAACCATCAGGCGGGGGGACTGCCACGATCAAGGTCAACCCTTTGGAAGGCCTGGGCAAGGGGTGCTGCGCAGTTTTTGGAAAGACAAGTCGTACCTGCCAAGACACAGCAACAGTCAAAAGTCATGCAGAACTGCCAATCAGCATTTCGCTGGCAGCAGACTCAGCAGACTTGGAACAGAAGTCGGAAGTGCCAACATGAGACAATGCGAATCGTCGTGCAAGACATGATTTCCTCAGATGTGCCTTACAAGAAATAACTAGGGCTAAGAGAGACATGGAACTCGACCTGTCAGAGGGACAAGAAGCATGAAGGCTGGTTACTCTGCCCGAGGACGGAAATGAGATGGTGACAAAACAAACCAGACATGAAGGAATGGAGAAGAAGAACTCCACAAGCAGCCACTGTCAGTGAGCATGAAGCAAGAATGCATCCTATGATAGGGCCTCCTTCGCCAAAACCGAGCTACGGTTTCTTTGAGCCCGATGCCTCACTGCGGCCTAAGCTCTGCTCTCAGGACAAGCCGCCCAGCAAGAATTGCGCAGAAATGGTGAACAGTCGCTGAGGTCTCCGACCGCTATGGATTTGGGGTGGTCGACGCTGCGGCCGGCTCAGCGAAGTCGAACTATTTTTGAGGTCAAGAGTAGGGTTCCTATTCCCACCCTCCATCGCCAAGGTCTGGAACGCAGCCCTTGGCCAACACACTGAACAAGAGGAGGCTGGATGCTGTAGTTTCTGAAGCTCCATGCTTGTAGCTGACGATATCGACATAGCTGCAGCTGCTGCCAGGCCTGCATCTGCCCTGACGCTGACCACCGGCCAGGAGCATTTGACTGCTTGGCAGAGACTTCCAGACGTTTCTTCTTTCTGCGGCTGACTCATCTTGCCCAGAAGCAGGGAGGCTGAGTGAATCTCAGACTTGAATGTACCACAATATTACATTGCCAGGAGTTGGGCGTGACATCCCCTACCGCCAGCCCCAAGGCCTGAAGGTTCTTGTAGACGGCGGCTGTTGCACACAGCCTGGGACGGTTCACCTCTCCCAGCACTTCATGGCTGTTTGCTTTTGGAAAGCAGCTGAATTCGTTCCTTGCCAGGGCGCCTTGATGAACGCCCTGCTATCTCCAGCTCGGGCCGGGCCATGACAACATGACAATCTTGCGCTATCCCGTCACCAGTCAAGAATTCGGTCTCCGACAGGCAACCGAGCGTGCAACCACTGCTCTTCCAGGCCACATTGTCACATGTCAGCCTACTGCCCGTGGCTTTGCGCATTGCCTTTGATCTGCCAGGGCCGCGGGGGATGTTCCGCAATGCCAGTAGCCCGGACACGCTCGGCCTCTCGTCCCCGAAGGCGTGGCGCACGGGTTCAAGGCTGTTCAATCTGTGCCACGGCATGGCAGTGCGGATGCATGTCAAATGCATGCTGCCTGCAAAGAAGTGTCAGGGCAGCCGCCTCACGCTTCCCTCGCCGCAATCCACGATGGGCAAGGGCCCTGGCCTGGAGTTCCCCAAAGTCAGGAGACCCAAGAGGTACAGAACAACGGACCGAGGCGGAGGACGTTCAGGGCAGGATTATGATCGGCTGCTTGGCCTCGGACGCTCTCCTTCGCAACCGCTGCATGACTGCCCGGAATCTGTCTGTTAGATGAGAGTGGAGACGTGCCTCAATCCATCGGTCAACCCTTTGGCATTTGTGATGTGAGCTGACGCTGCAGGAGTCTGCTTACTGCCAGCCATCCCGTTTGCGCAAGGCACTTCAGGGGTCTGGAAAGGGGCTGGGCAGATGGCGGGATCTCCGCCTTCAACTTCACAGACACATCACTCGAGGAACGCACCGGAAGCTGATGTGGCTGCATAGGCTGCCCAGCACCCAGACCGCTTGCCTTCTGCTAGCTGTTCGCAGTGCCATGGTTGTGAGATTGCGAACTGTCCACGATGCGTGTTCAGATGTGGAACCCCTGCAGCGCATCTGCAGTCTGGCTCCATGGAGACGAGCATTTTACCTTTCTGGACTGCCTGGCCTTGACTTCAAGTCATACTGGACAAGTTCTACTGATTCTGCTGTACTACTGGCGAATGGAACCTTGCAAGATGAACAGCCCAAGGAATGTAGCTGCAGCACCTCGGTTCCCGGCCTTGTAGCACCAGACAACTGGTGCACCGGCGTGGATCAAGCAGGCTGCTTGCAACCCCGGTCAAGATAAGTTGAGTTGGACAGTGACTCTGATCTCACTACTTACTGTGGAATGCTTCTGCGTTACTCCATTGCCCTTGAACCTCTGTCACAATGCACCGCGCCTCCTGGCGGTGAGGTGGCCATAGAGACGAGGATTTCCCTAAAGAGCTGACAGCCGTCTCTAGGATTCAATCCAGGGATGCGTTGCTAAACGTTGCTAATGGGTTCCTATTGGAGGGTCTTGTGTTCACCTATCCGTGTAATCATATTCGTGTGGATGATTGTGTGGATGTTTCCAGAGCTGAGCACAGCGCTCACAGTCACGTGAAAATATGCCTAGCTCTGGGAGGCGCCCTCCCGCGCTCCAAAGATGGCTGCTGCAGACATTCAGCTCCCAGAAACCTTGCAGGTGCATTGTTGCTGGGAAGCTATCTTTCTGAAGCTTGCAGTTTCTTTGGGTTATGCGGTGCCAGGCCATGTCAGACACATGTGGGTGCTTGGCATCACATATCCCCTTCAGTGAACCATTTTTCGCAGGGTGAGAACAATGCGAAGCGGCTGGACACGGAGCGGCCCAGCATCCCGCACATGTCATGGCATATATGTGCAGTCCAACGAGTACTTCAATTGTAACCCAAATAGGGGACTTAGGGGGCTTGAAATTGGATGATGAAAGCACTATCACAACCAAATTGTAAGCCCCTACGTCCCCTGATTGGGTTGTGATGGGGTTGTAAGCACCAGTCAGAATAGTACCGTTGTGCATCGTGCATCCAGGAGCTTGGTCGTCTCAGCAAGGACGCCTGGGTTTGGGGGACAGTGGTGCGGGCATTGAGCCGCCGTCCCGTTATTAAATTTAACCATATTTCACACAGTAAGCACAAGGAAATGCCGTAGCAGGTGGGAAAACGCGGTATATTGAGGCATATTCTACAGCAGTAGAGTCTAGCACATTAGGGTCGAGCACAGTGTAATTAATATAGGGGCAAGCTGGGTAGCACACAGTTTCACAAGATGGCTAGCAGTGTCTTCTCTTACCCATGAGGTACTACTTGCAGCAGACAAATTGCGTTGCCCGTTTGAGTTTTGGCTAAAAGCAACCTGCAAAGGAGTGGCGGCAACAGCGCGACAGCTTTCGTGCGCGCACTTCCATGGTGCCCCCCGACGAGCAGCTGCGGCTGGGTGTCAATGAGTTTGTTGAGTGGAGGGCTTTCCGCTTCGTAGGATGGCAGCCAGGCATTGAAAAGGCGGCACTTGTCACTCATCGAGCATCTTCGCCGCTAAAGTAAAAAGTATTTGTAGAGCGAGAATGTCGTACAGAGCAATCCCCCATACCTAGCACCAGGCAACCTGGCGCTGTGTCAGGCTTGGCAAGGCATCATGAGCATCAGCTGGTTCTTTTTGCCGGGAGAGGCGGTAAACGCACCAGCATCATCAGCCTCCTTTGGCGATGACGTGTAGAATCTAGAAGCCAGGCTAGCTGCACATCAGTTGAATCCTTTTGCAAGGATGTGCGAAAATTAGTCCAGCATTCATCAGCATCAGCCGGGCCATGAACGGGGAAAGGGTGTAGTCGGGCCAGCAGCATGGGAATCAACAGCGCATGTGTCATGCAAGGACAGCGAGGATGTGCGGAAGCATTTCGCGGGCATAAGCTGGGCTTGCTTTGAAGTCACATGCATGCAGCTCGCTATGGCCTGAGTGCGATGTACCCCTGCTGTAGGAAGCGGCTTGACTAGTTGCCAGATCGACTCAGTCCGATTTTGTTGAGTGTTCAGAGAAAGGGTCGCTGCGGCTGCAAACGGTCGACTGGAGGACCAGATTGGCTGTGCACCGTGCTTTTGGCCTAGTCACAGAAATTCAGAAAGGCAAAGGGCCATCTGCTGGGTAAAGGAGTGCCGTCAGCTGCTGCAGCGGGGCTCGGCTGGCCCAGAAGCCACTTCCAAGGTCCATGCCTCAGTTTCACGAAAACCGGACCATGACGTAGTGCGGTTCAGTTTGCTACTTGCAAGGGGCCACCGAGCATTTTTGAGTAGGGCTGCGACGCTGAGGTGGGCCAGTCAGCCGCTTGGATGGAAAGACTGTCCTCCCACCACTGCCTTCAGATCTGTGACTTCTTCGTCCAGCAATGCAGAAGGTAACCAGGAGGAACATGGCAAAAGGAGTCCAGATAATGCTGATTCTGTTACCACGCGCCTATTTCCCGAAGTGCTGATCCCGCGTTTGATTCCCGCTTGCCTTCTTTGTTGCCCGCATTCCCGCCGTTGCAGCCTCCGCAACATATTTCCAGCATTGTTGCACCTGTTAGTGGCCTGCAGTGAAAGAAGCAGCGTGAGTAGAAGCGGACATGGCGGAACCTGAACATAGTATCCATGTAGGCCCCAACATGTTACAATGTAGTAATAGTAAATTGGCCTGGCCTTCCTTCGTGGTTGCTGATCCTTCTGCCCAGGCTCTCATGGCTGCAGCACAATCTGGCAGTTCAGAGGTAGGCGTTTCCCTACTGGGGGTAGGTAGGGAATCAGGGAATATATTTATATATATATATAGGGATTCTATTCCCGTATTTGCTACTAACCCCCAGTAAGTTTCTGAAACTCAGGGCTTTGAACATGGCAGGGGGTCCGCGAGAGGGGAGGACGACCATTTGGTGGTCCCCTGAAAGAAAGGATCATAGTACATTGGGGTCTCTATCCCTGTAGAGAGACAGAGATTCCCATCTTTGGGAAGACCCAGAAGAGGCTCAGAATGTTACTGGGCTGCTGTTAAGAAATTTAAGTCAAGTTAAACTATAATCTGTGTATAAATAAAACAGTAGGGTGTACGTATTACAGTAATATAAACCGTTTCTTAACAGCAACTGAGAATTAGAAAACCTGCAGGTGGTCTCGCTGCTCCTAACGGCTCGGGCAGATCCCAGGCCCGGTATGAGCTATTTGGAGGGTTAACTGGGTAGGCCCCTGGGATATTTAGCATTTTCCTTAATGGCTTTCATAAGGGACCCCAAATACTAATATTTTTCAAAGGGCTTTAGGGGCCAACCCAGTTAATAATTAGGATAACTAATGGGTTATAGGGGATATTAACCTACTTACTAAGTCCCCTTGACCCTCCAAGTATAGTCTAAACTCCTTAAAGGGGATTGTATAGGGGATGATTTAGGAAAGCATTATAGGGCTCTCATTCATGGGGATGCTGAACTCCAAAAGGAAGCCTTATGGGGCTTATTAAGGGAGATGCTAGGAGTCTAGACTATAGCTCATATAACTCACATACGCCAGCATTCAATGTATATACGGTCATGCACATATTATGGTAGCTTAGTTTAAGCCCCTTAGAGCCTATTGTGCATTATGAATGATGTACATATTACATATATATATATATAAGTGCGCAACACAGAAACTCATCAAATCTTGGTCCGAAAACGAGGTTTTCCTGTGTGCGCGGAAGGACGCGGAAGGTCCGCGGAAGCAAGCCCTTCTCGGAAGGGCTTGCGGAAGCTCATGAGCGTGCGCGGAAATCCCTGCGTAGTCTTCGAAGCCCTTTCGCGGAAGCAGATCCCAAAATTCAGCCGAAAAACCTTTGCGGAAGCAGCCGGGAAAGGCGGAAGCAAAAAAGACTACAAGCGCTACTCGCGGAAGGATCGCGGAAGGGCTTCGCGGAAGGGGTGGTTTCTGTAATGAAAGTATTATATAAGAATAAAAACCACCGCTCATTTTCCCCTATGTTCAAATTTCCGTTTCACTTCCACTTTCTTTTCCATTTGTTTCTTGTTCGTTGGGTTTGAGATTTGAGAATGTGGGCACCGGAATAGATTCCTGAAGTCTGTCATTCCCAAGATTTAGCGGACTTGGGGTTGGACAGGGTTCTGCCCATCAACGGTCTGTAGAGATTTTAGGGTTTAGGGTTTAGGGTTTAGATCCCAGAATTTTACAAAAGCACCCTAAGTTCATGGCCAAAGGCTGCTGTACTACAGCAGGGTCAGTTATTGTCCCTGTGCTTGCGAAGTGCAAGCATTGGAGGAGAGGTTATAGGAGCCAGGGGTTGATCCATGTAAGAATTGCTTAGAATTACATTAAATCCGCCAAGACCACATCAGCTTTCAACCTGCGACAGTCAACAACCAGCCGAATCTCAGAGTATTTGAACCCTCCATAGAGCCATGAAAGTGGGGTAACATCTCGATCTTCCAGGACCTCTTGAAGGCTTGTGTTTCAAACCAGCTGCACCGTGAGTAAAAAGTCTTGCCTCAGTTCTGCGCGGGGCCCGCGCCGAAGTACAGCACTGCACACCGCCACGGAGCTGGGCCATGGGAAGACACGCTGCTGCATTGGATCATGATTCGTACCTCATATCATCGCCTTACATGTTTTAGATTGGAATAGTGCTACAGCGACCACAGACCACGGAGAAGACAACGATGATGACCTGCCGTTGTGGCCAACAGAACCGCCATGTTGATGCCACTGCCACAGCTGAAAAGACCGTCATCGCCTGCCGCAACCGCCGCCACTGCCGCCAGCGCCACCGCTGCCACCGCCGCCGCCTCCACTTCCTCTCAACTTCAAGCAGCGAGTTCAGAAGCACAATGGATGTGACTACCTTGACACCAGCTGAAAGCAGCGGTATGATAGTGGCGGCATTGGTGCCTCAGGATTTGCATGGCTCTCCTATCTGCCCGTGCAGATCCGCAAAGGGCAGATGCACGGGGGACGACATCCGTTGCAATTGCCTCTGGTATGGAGGCACATTTACATCTGCTTTGGCAGACTGCTCTGAAGTTGTATGTGGCCAGAGAGGCGCTTTGGCCGCTGTTTGCGGCCGTCGGCTGCGAGCGGGCTCCGCAACTCGGTGAACTATGGATTCAGAGGAGTAGAAATCCCTGTGTGCTGCCCTGCAATGTTGGGTTAAGCTCGGCTTGTGCCAGGAAACTTGCGGTTGTTGCTATTATTACTACAAGTACTAGTATTGTTACTATTACTTTTACTATTACTACTATTACCACTACTGTTACTAGCTGCCATG